CTTCCGAATGAAAGTGAGTAGAGTAATTTTAGCCTCTCAGCCTAAAAGAGAGGAGCCCTAGTGTCATAGCGGGTTACACACTGGGCTGCTCACCACAAGGTCAGCAGTTTGAAACCACCAGATGCTCCAGGGGAGAAAGATGAGGCTTTCTACTCCTACAAAGAGTCACTCTGTCCTATAGGGTCGCTATGAATAATCAGAAGCAACTTGATGGCAATAGTAAGTAGTCCCCCTAAAAGATGTTAAAGCACAAATAGTTAAAATAATCTATTGAAGACTTAAATTGAACGATGTTTCACTGGATTTTATTAGACTGTTTCTGTGCTGATAGATTATTGGCTAGTGGCTTGGTTATCTTTTTGTGCTATCAGAAATAACACAGTGGTTAACGAGCAGACATGTCTTTGATCGGGACAGGAGGCAGGCAAACACAGGATGCTGGCTCGGAGGAAGGCTCTTCCTTTCTGTCAGCTCCAGTCTCTGCTCAGCTTCTGTTCCTTGGAAATTCTGGTATGGCATCTACCTGCCCTCAACTCTGGGGGCTTGCTTGCCTGCTCTCTTATTCAGTGATACCCATGAGAGCTGGAACTCAACAATCAGTTTCCTATCTTTTTCTACTTGTATTATGTTCTTGATGTTATAAGACGTTCTTCAAATTCAGGTGAGATATACTCAAGGTCACATTTTGACATTTGCAAGTGCATTTTAATATTCTTCAGTTTCAACCTGAACTTACATGTGAGCAACTGTTCCAAAGTCAGGTCCTGGCCTTTATTGAGGCTGCTGATTCCCACCGATGGAGAATTTGATTCCTGTGTATCCCATCTAGTGAGGCCCATGGTACAATCACCATTTATATTGCAAACAAGAAGTCTTACAACGTTTAACCATGCCACCTCCAGCTTTGTTTCTGTCACCAAAATCATATTTCCAACTACTGTTTGCAACCTTTTGTGTTCCAATCACCAATAATTATCGATGGATCCTTATTGCCTATTTGATCCATTTCAGATAGAAGATGCTGGTAGAATTCTTCAATTTCTGCATCACTAGCTTTAGTGACCAGTGCATAAATTCAAATAGTATCCGTATTGATTAGATTTCCTTGAGGCATATAAATACTCTCCTATCACAAGACAGCAATGTACTTCAAGACAGATCTTGAAATGTTCTTTTTGATGATGAATGCAATGCTGTTCCTCTTAGATTCGTCATTCTGGGTATAGTAAACCATATGACTGTCTGATTCAAAATGGCCAATACCAGTCCATTTCAGCTCACTAATGCCTAGGATATTGATTTTTATGCATTCCATTTCATTTCTGAGGACTTGCATTTTCCCTAGATTCATGTTCCAATTATTAATGGTTGTCTGCAGCTGTTTCCTCTCATTTTGAGTCCTAATCCATTTACAGGTAAAGTTCTCAAAAGCTATATCCCACCCACGCCATTGTGGCCAACTCTAATTTGAGGAGGCAGTTCTTCCTCTGTCATAGTTTGAGTGCTTTCCAACCCAACGGGCCCATCGTCCTGCACTCTCTCTGACGATGCTCCACTGCTATTCATAAGGGTTTTCAGTAGCTAGTCCCTTAGAACTAGATAGCCTATGCCTTCTTCATTGTCAGTCTTAGTCTGTATGCTCCCTGAAACCCATTCAACCTGGGTGACCCTACTGGTATTTAAAATACTACTGACCTAGCTTCCAGCATCACAGCAACACACAAGCCACCACAATACAACAAACCAATAGACAAGAGGTAGCCACAAAGATGTACAGCTTTGAAAATATCACGGGGCAGTTCTCTTAGGGTCTCTGTGAGTTGAAATAGCCTTGACAGTCATGGGTTGGATTTGGCTTTGGTTAGAACCAAATTAAAAGTCAAAAAGTAAAAACAAAAAACAGGTTAAATAACGTTATCTATTAAAAAGGTAAATAGAAGGACGTAAAACTAAGCTTAATAGTTTTCATTTGGTAGAAATTTAAAAATTATTATTTCAACAGATAATTGAGATAAAAACCCTTACCAGGATATTTTCCATGGGTTTAAATGGAATCTTTGAGATCTGTTGTGCCTGTGATACTTACAGCACATCTCATTTTGAACTTGCTTCATTCCAAGTCCCCAACAGCCACATGTAGATGTTGACTACTACTGTGCTGGCACTTAAAGGAAGTGCCCGGAAAATGGGAACATGTGTTGTCTGTTCATGGACGTAACCATAGCATTCACATTAAGGGGCATAATCAACACTCAATGAATATTTAAATGAATCTGAAAAGCTCATACACATATTTACAAAATAATATTTCAGTAAAATAACTGAATTTTTTTATCCCACAATTAGGATGAATAGAAGAAGCATAATTGAAGCCCAGATGATGTTTGGATGTTTAGTGAGATATGGTCAGTCAACAGCTGCTTACATTCAAATACAGAATAATTACGTCTTACTCTCAATAAGGACTATTATTCCGTAATCACTTTCACATAATTTACGTAACATTTAATAGATGGGAATGCTGTCATTTAGATAATCACATTTAAGTAATCATGTATAGCTTTCTCTCTAAATTGAATGAATGCCATATTCATCAATTACATGCAATTCTCATATGTTCCACTAACATTTCCAAAGAGATATTTTTGTTTGATGCCTAATCCACTCTAACACCAGCGAAAGAAATGGGCAAAACATGGATTCAAACACCTGGCAAAAGGTACATTTATTGTTTATATAATGTTTACCCATGAAGTGCTGAGATTACTTAGTATAAATTAAACTGGCCCCAAAGAGTTGATCTTTAATAACAAAGGCTAAGGAGTAAAGCTTACCTTCTCTGCTAAGAGCTCTCTTATCTTGCTTGCTTGGACTCTAAATTTCATAAGCTGGGATTCCAGAGCAACACAACGTTCTTTCCAATCTACTGGTCCTTCTGGCTCAGAAAGTTCTGCCATGCTTATTCTAGAAAACAAATCATTAAAACAGAATGATGCCAATTAGCAATCAGGATATTATCGTCAATCAAGATACAAACAAAGTACACTTGCTTGTTGTTGTCATTGTGAAGTCGGGCCCCAATGCATGGAAACTCCATGCCCAACAGGATGAAACACTATCTGTTCTAAGCCATCCCCATGGTCAGGTAAGGATTAGGTTTTCATTGGCTGGTTTTCAGAAGCAGATTGCTGTGCATGTGCTAATCAGCATCTAATGATATCCAGATGGAAATTTTGCATTACAAGATAAATTCCAGAAAAAACGTTTGTAGGAGACTGGAGGCCTGGGTTGGAGACCTACCTATATCATTCACTATAACCTACTTCTCTATTATCTCAGTTTCCCCAGTCTCAAAATCCAGACAAAGGAAAATGCTGATAATAATGAAACATTCTTCCTTGTGAGTATGTTTTAAATACCACTTTGGAAAGTGCCATGCCACTGCACAAAAGCAAAGCACTCATTATTTTACCTTTACCCAACAGATCTGATTTTTAAAATCTATCAGCTCATAATGCCTAACAAGCCAGCAAATTTACAGGAGTATCACAGCTGATTCAATAGGTCACGTAACAGAATAATCTAAAGAAATGCCATACAAGTGCTACAACCATTATTTGTATTACAATGACCACTTATCAAAACGTGTCCAGGTCCAGGCTAAATCTTTCAAACCCAAAGCCTTTTGTCCTATTTAACTGGGTAATGTATTATGACAGTGGCCAAGAGAGTATAATTTTTATTTGGGGAAAGATAAGAAAGCACATCCACAGGAAACCTGGAATCCCCTAGAGCAGTGGTTCTCAGCATTCCCAATGCCGCGACCCTTTCATAACGTGCCTCATGTGGTGGGGACCCCAACCATAACATTATGTTCGTTGCTACTTCATCACTGTCATTTTGCTACTGTTATGAATCATCATGGAAATATCTGATAGGCAGGATGTATTTTCATTGTTACAAATTGAA